GCAATGACATGCTTACACTGCAATGACATGCTTACACTGCAATGACATGCTTACAGTGCAATGACATGCTTACAGTGCAATGACATGCTTACAGTGCAATGACATGCCCATCGCCATCACACTCCACAGCATCCATGCTGTCGCAATCCCTGCCCCTCATCCATGTGCTCGTACCGCTGATTTGGTTCCATTCACGTGCCAGGCTCGCCAAAACTTCCACTGCCATGCACCCATGCCATGCACCCATGCCATGCACCCATGCCATGCACCCATGCCATGCACCCATGCCATGCACCCATGCCATCCACCCATGCCATGCACGCATGCCATGCACCCATGCCATCCACCCATGCCATCCACCCATGCCATACCACACAAGGCCTCATGTCCTCCCACGTCACGTGTTGGAAACATTCCCAGGGGAGGGGCGAGAGGAAGAGGGGAAGGGAAGGCGGATGGATGGAGGTGGGTACGGCAGGAGGGGCAGTGCAGGCTGTTGCTGGTACGGGCCTCATGATGCATGCTGAATCAGGTTACTGTCACGGATGATGCTGACTCAGCTGCTCCCTGGGCGGTATGGAACACGGCATGGCTGACTGCCATGGCATGGCAGGGACCTCCGTCTGTCAAAAGGAGGTGGAGGTGGAGGGACGAGAGCGTGCGGGCTTACTGTCAGCGGGCTTGCTGTCAGCGTCCAACACGGGAGCAGCGCGTGCAGGTTACGGTCCTGGGGCAGTAAGGCGCACGGGAGGACTTACTGTCAGGGACCACGGCCTGTCAGAAGGAGGAGGCGGAGGGACGACAGTGGGTCCCGCACAGCTCACTGTCAGCGTGCATAACGGCTTACTCTCGGCGTCCGCCACGGGAGCAGCGCGAGCGAGGGGCATGCAGCAGCGCGCCACCACCAGCGCCACCACCGCCGCCGCTCTCGCCGCCATCATGACGCCGCGGCGCGTCCCCATTGCCGCGCCACAACAGTGACACCCCATCGATAGTACCGCGCGCGTTGTCGGGTAGTGCGCTTGTTTTGCCACACGCGCTGCCGTCGACCGAACGCCCTGCACGCACGCGGCCTTGCCCCGCGTGAATTGTGCGGTGGACAGTTCTGTTGCTATTGCTTCTTTCACGAGCCGTGAGCCGTCTGCGTGTGCGCGTTTGCAACATGGGAGATCGAGACTCTTAGAGCAAAACAGAATCTCTAAACCGTTTTTGGAGGAGTTGACTCCAGCTGGTACCAAAGGGCGAGACACGGTGACCTAATTTCGTGCATTGTTGTCTTGCTCTTGGTCTCTCGCGGGAGTCCCGGCAAACACTGATGCGGGGAAGGTGCAGCGTGAGGGAGGGATGGTGCATCAGCGTAGCTGGTGCTACGCTGTGTTGCTCGGTTGGATGGTTTGGCGCTCGGCTGCTCCGCGCGGACCTGCCCTTGAACAAAAGCTTGCTTCCTCACCATATCTCGCCGTTTAATAACCAGCAGAAACGCTCCGGAACTTTGCAAACCCGTTAACACCGCACAGAAGCGTCGGTGATATTTGAATCAAAGCCCTGGAGAAATTGAAGACTTGGGCTGACCAATGTTGCTGGTGGCGAGGCCGAGGAAAACGGGGTGGAGAGAGAAACGCGTTACAGTAAGACTTCCGTTAAAGTAATTTAGGTTTCCCGAAAGATGTGTCAGTATACCACCAATCTTCAACAATTGGCATACCATATCAAGATGTCGTCCAAGTCGCTCCCTGGCTGTTATCGGAAAATCTGCAACAGTGGAGTCAATTGGTGATGCGTCCTGTCTTCTATATACATGAGCACAATCACGACATGCATTCATTACAACTTGCATAAGCGAAGTATGTACAAGAATAACAATAATATCCAGGTAGTAGCTACTACATATATCAGTCAGGATAATAACATCAGCAAGGGATACTACTCTAGCAGGCAACCAGGATTGGACACCCAACAAGCCCTCAGATTCGTTTTAGACTCGTCACGCTCACATGGCATTGTAACTTAGCAAATAGTAATTTATGGGTGGTAGTAATTTGACAAATATTACAAAAAAAAAAATCCGTTCGGAAGATGTTAGAAAAACATTTCGTTGTGGTAGTGGACCCTTAGCAATCATGCTCTAGCAATTGATCTCCACACCCATGGCAGTTTGCCGAGCAGCAAGGGCTCTCTTTGAAAAGAAGTAGCGTGTGGGGGGTCGATTCCTGAGGCGCCTCAGCAACTGCGACAGTGAGAAGGCCAGCAGCAGCAGCACCACCAGTGGAAGCAGCAGCAGCAGCAGCAGGTTTCGAGGTGCCTGGTGAGAAGACAGAGTCATCCCCACGACTGCAGTGCTTAGCGGTTCAGACGGTGAGTTGTGGAAAGAGAGAGTGGAGGGCATTGGTGGCTGATCCAGAGGGTGGGATGGTGAAGTTAGAGCCACCCCTATGGCTGCGGTGTCTAGCGGTTCAGATGATGGGTTGGTGCCTGCAGGGTGCATGAGGGGAGGGGGGAAGGGCGGGAGGAGCGGATGCAGGTAAAGAAGGAGCATAGTGAAGTGCAGAAAGTAAGCGGAGACGGACGCAGCAGTGGACTGAAGTTGGCATGTAAAGAAAGCTGGTAGGGGTAAGGGCAGTGCGGTCTTGATGGGTGTGGGTGGGTGCATTGTGCCACAGAGCCAACAGACACAACCTGCAGCGCAACAGCAACTGCTGTGCTTATGTGATGAAGAGGGGAGCATACACGGCAAGTGGAGGAGCGAGAGTGACACTACCCGGCACGAGCAGGCCGGTGGAACCCATGGGGCATGTGTGGGATAGCAAGCAGGCATGTTGGCAAGCAGGCATGTTGGCAAGCAGGCATGTTGGCAAGCAGGCATGTTGGCAAGCAGGCATGTTGGCAAGCAGGCATGTTGGCAAGCAGGCATGTTGGCAAGCAGGCATGTTGGCAAGCAGGCATGTTGGCAAGCAGGCATGTTGGCAAGCAGGCATGTTGGCAAGCAGGCATGTTGGCAAGCAGGCATGTTGTCCCCCGGAAAGGAACCGAAGAAGAAAGCAGGCACCAGCAAGCAAGGGCATTCAGCAGCAGGCGTACCGTGAGGGACGCACGTGCCAGCCTTTGGCCCTGGAGTGTACCCCTCATCACAGACGCACTGGCCCTCGGGTCCACTGTAGGGCGGCGGCTGCTGATCGTAATTGTCACCCAGACAGGCCAGCCCCGTGCCATCATTGTAAGAGGGGTCAGGCTGGAAGGAGCACACGCCATGGCCGCTGCACGGCGGGGTGAGTGGCTGCGCCCCACAGAACGCCCGGCACTCGCTGGCTCTCCTCTGGTCCTGCCAACAGTTGCAGGAGACTGTGTTGTTGTTGTTGTTGTTGTTGTTGTTGTTCCCAAGGCAATTGTGGTCGAACCAACACACACTGTGGTAGTATGAAGGATCCTCTTGGCTGGTAGCGTTGAAAGAGAGAGGGTCTGCTGTGGATGTGAGGTAGTTGTGGTCTGCAGTCAGTCCCTGTTGCGAAGTGAGACGGGCCATGTGGTGGAAGGAGGGCAGCTCTCCCGTAAGCTGGTTGTCGTCAAGGTGGCTGTGATGGCAAGGAAAGGTGGGAGCGGGAGAGGTGGGAAGGCAGAGGAGTGGTTGGGAATGGGAGTGTGGGGAAAGATGGAGTGTAGGAAAAGGGGAGTGATGAGACAAGATGAGGATATTGAGTCGTTGACTTTTGAGGGCGTATTCCTGACTTTGTGTCAAGAACCAGTTGGTGTCAAGCCATAACTTTGGAGAGCACATGATTGGCCAATTGTGATTTTTAAACCAATCGCATGCGTTCCAAGATTCTAGGTTGACACAAACACAGCTTGACACGAAGCCAGGCATTCGCCCTGAGTTGTCAAACCCAACAAATACTCATATGTCAGCGCTGTGTTGGATCAGACAGGTGTGTTAATGCTCTATGCTTCCCTTCATATATTTTTAGGCATGGACAAGGCACTTAGGAGGAGGAAGAATTCTTAATGCATCCAAGTAAGAGCAAGAAAGGGCTTTACAGGAACGATGTTAGACTCGGAAGAGGAAAGTAAGTGGTGTCTGGGAGTAGGTGGAGTAATGGGAGTGGGTGGATTTATGAGAGTGGGAAGAGTTATGGATGACGAGGTTGCCACCCTTCAAGTCAATGCGGCCTTCAGCAAGTAGAAAGGAAGAGATGTGTGGGCGGCAGAAAGGAAACGAGCTGCTGCGAGCAGTAGGAGTGGCATCTCAAAGAGAAGAAGAGGTGTGTAGCAGTACTGCTCAATGAATCTGATAAACGCTCTAATGTATCTGCTCCCCTCATATTCCACACTCCGTTAGAATGCAGTAAATGGGAATAACCTTTAAGTCTAGGGGTAGTTCAGGGTGGGTGGCCCCACGAGTTGGCGAAAAAAACATGTCGTAATCGATATGTGTTGCAGGGTCTGCTTAAACATGACACCCCTTCGCATTTGCGAGACCCGACCATTTGGTTGGCTTTTAGGCCTGGTCGGTACAACGTTACACGGCCTAACACTGACAGGTACTCGAGATTTGTGAGCGTGGTGATTGCAGCAGGTATCGTCCCTGCAAGTCGATTGTGATCGAGTTTCCTGACGACAGGTGGGTGGATGGGCATGTAGGGAACGAGGGAAGAAGAGGGGATGAGGTTATGAGGAAGAGGGGAAGAAGGGAGGAGGTGAAGGGGAGAAGAGGAGAAGAGGGTAGGAAGAGAGGAGGAGAGAAATCGTGGAGTGGAAGGCTGTACCTGTGTAAAAAGACTGAAATCTGAGGGCCTCGATATGATTGGATGGGATGGAATGGGATTGAATGGGATGGACGGGCAGGCCATTAGCCCGTAGGGCCACTCACTCTCTCATCCCCTCACCCACTCACTCACTCGCACTTACACCCACACGTTACTCACTTGCCCACCCTCTCTCGGCCTCTCACTCTCCCGCTCACTTGCTCACTGAGGGGGACCTATCATGCCTACCCCATCGACACTCACAAGCTTTGTAACTGCTTGAGGCTGCTGATTGCCTCTGGAATGGAGCCTGAGAGACTGTTGTCGTTGAGGTACCTGGAGCATGACGAGGGTAGAACGGAGAGGGGAAGGCGGAGAGGGGAAGGCAGGGAGGGGAAGGCAGGGAGGGGAAGGTGGGGAGGGGAAGGTGGGGAGGGGAAGGTGGGGAGGGGAAGGCGGGGAGGGGAGAGGTGGCAAGGGGAAGGGGAGGTACTCGAGGTAGAAGGCAGAAAGGACAATCATGATTGATCATGGAGGCTGAAGTGGCGGATGGATGGATGGACGGAAGCATTGCAGTGATGCGTTTTCATTATCCGAAGCATTCTCACACAGCATGGTGGCCGTATCATTATAACTTTCTAGCAAACGGAAAGTTTAAATGTGGTTATAGTTGCTTTTTGCTAGTAGAGGAGGTAAAGGAGGTGTAAGGCGGAAGAGAATGGACGGGGGGACAGCAGGGAAGAGGGCTGCGAGAGAGATGGGATTGGGTGGGATTGGATGGGATGGGATGGGACGGGACGGGACGGGACGGGATAGGAGAGGATGGGATGGGATGGGATGGGATGGGATGGGATGGGATGGGATGGGATGGGATGGGATGGGATGGGATGGGATGGGATGGGATGGGATGGGATGGGATGGGATGGGATGGGATGGGATGGGATGGGATGGGATGGGACGGGACGGGATAGGAGAGGATGGGATGGGATGGGATGGGATGGGATGGGATGGGATGGGATGGGATGGGATGGGATGGGATGGGATGGGATGGGATGGGATGGGATGGGATGGGATGGGATAGGAGGGGATGGGATGGGATGGGATGGGACGGGATGGGACGGGATGGGATGGGATGGGATGGGATGGGATGGGATGGGATGGGATGGGAGGGGACGGATTGCGCAAGCTACAACTCCCCATCAGCACTCACAACTGCTGCAGCTGCTTGAGGCTGCTGATTGCCTCTGGAATGGAGCCTGAGAGACCGCTCTGATATAGTACCCTGGAGCATGGGGAGGGGAGGGTGGGCGGAGGGCGGGGATGGAGGTGAGGGGAAGGGCGGAGAGAGGAAGGATGGGCGGAGAGAGGAAGGATAGGCAGAGAGGTGGAAGGTAGGGAGGGAAATGATGATCACGCCGAGTGAATGGAGGAGAGAATGAAAGGCAACGCTTGAATGGAGGATGGTGGGAGCAGTGCAGAGCTCTTTTCTCTGAGCTGTCTTGTGTAACGTGGTGGTGTTATACTGAGTGATCGCTTTACAACTGAGTGAAAAGCATCGGCAATACTTGCTGATAACACAGAGCCGTTAATCATAGTGCGGAACATAGGAGAGAAAGGAAGAATAGTACATAGGCGGGTGGAGGGAGAATGGCCACACAGGGTGGTGAGTGCGGTGAGGTGGGCAATGCAGGCGGGAATGGTGCCACTCAGCTTGTTGCAGCGCAGCCACCTGCCATGTGGTGGCATTGGAGGGCATGGCATGGGATGTGATGGGAGGGTATGGCATGGGATGATGGCATGGGCATGTGTGGCAGCTCTGTAGATTGATGGCAGCTCACTGGCCTGGGTACTGGAGAAGTTTCACTCAAACGAGCCATGCTACTCTAAGGATTGATTCCGAGAATTCTCACAATCGATCTACCGGAGAAGCTCCAGTCAAACGAGCCACGTTACTCTGTAGATTGATTCTGAGATTCTCCAAAATCAATCTACCTGAGAAGCTTCAGTGAAACAAGCCACGTTACTGGAGAAGGTAGAGCCACGAGCCGAGAGCCGAGTTTTGAGTCGACTCAAAACCCAAGCTAGAGCCAAGAGCCCTTGCAAAGGCACAAGAGACGTTGGAAAAGGAGTGAAGGCAGTACCAACGTTCTCATCCTCAATACTCACGGCTTGCAATGCTTTCCCAGTGTGGGTGAGCTGATAATGTGAGTTGCGGCATCAGGCAACAATGGCTTGCAGGACTCAAAATGCACTATCAGTATCCCATTGGCATATCACGATGCACATCCCACTTCCGTACAGATTTTCCAGGTTGGTGAGCGCTCCTATTGCCTCGGGGATGGACCCTGACAGCTCTTTCTCCTCAAGGACTCTGCAATCAAGTGCGGCACAGTGCGGTGAAGCGCGGTGCAGTGCGGTGAAGTATGGCGCAGAGAGGAATGGTGGAGGGGAACGGGGGAGGTTGGGTGTGGGAAGGTTGATAACGCATTGCCTCACATGCATCCCCTGTGCATTGCAGCTCCAACCTCGCAGCACCAGCAGTGCATATACCTGCAGTGCATATACCTGCAGTGCATATACCTGCACTGCATATACCTGCACTGCATATACCTGGACTGCATATACCTGCACTGCATATACTTTCAGTGCATGTGTCTGCTCTGCCTGTGTCTTGCAATTCAGCACTCACAAATGCCTTAGCTGCTTGAGGCTGCTAATAGCCTTTGGAATGGAGCCCGAAAATTGGTTCTTCTGGATAATCCTGGTGCATTGAGATGGTTGGGTGGAAACAGGGAGGAGGGCAGTGCAGAGAGGGGAGGGGGATGCTTGGAGAGGGAAGGCCGGAAGGAAAGGTATAGGTAAGGGGAGAGAATACTAGCAGGAAGATGGAAAGGGAGTTGAATAAGCCGTTGGGAGCGATGCAGAGTTGTGTACTGTTGAATGCAACTTCTGGAATGAGAGCATTCTTATGCGAACTAGAATGTGAGGAGCAGCAGCACTCATGGGATCCTCACTCATGGGGAAAGGAAGAGGTGCAAGGAAGAGCATCAAGGTGGAGATGCTTGTAGCAGTAAAAAGACTCGTCTCTGCTAGCAGAGCATTCTTATGCGGACTATCTTAGAAGTGCAAAGAAGTTAGGTGAGTGAGATAAGTAAGGGGAGACAAGGGCACGCTTTATATGGAAAAGAATGTTCGATGGGGCGTGGTGCATGGCATGGCAGATGGTGCATGGCAGCACGAACAGTGAAGTCAAGTCTGTGAGGCTGAAGATCCACGCAGGCAGCTCCCCAGACAGATAATCATGATTCAAGTGCCTGATGATGGAAACATCAACCATGAGAGGAGCAGTCGAGAGGCAAGGAGCAGGGAAGATGTAGGGAAAAGGGGTATGAGGAACCCATGAACAGACGGGGAGGATGAGCAAGGTGAAAATGAAGAGCGAGGATGGGATCATGGAAGAATGGAATGTGATACACATGCCATCCCATGCCATCCCATGCCATCCCATGCCATCCCATGCCATCCCATGCCATCCCATGCCATCCCATGCCATCCCATGCCATCCCATGCCATCACATGCCCTTCACCCAGCCTTACAGAGACTGCAGCTTCTGCAGCTGCGAGAGCTCGTCTGGTAGTGATTCCAGTAGATAGTTGTTCGTCAAACGCCTGCTTGCACCATGCATGCATCATGTTTACACCATGCATGTACCATGCACGCACGTACGCACCATGTACGCACCATCCACGCATCATATATGCACCATGCATGCACCATGCGTACAACATCCATGCACCACGGACGTGGAGGGTTAAGAAACATCGGAGGGTGCTGCAGGGGAGAGGTGGCTGTTGACGAGAGGCTGAAGGAGAGAAACGAGTGGCGGGAGATGGATTGGAGTGGGGAGCAGCAGGCAGTGCAGGTGGGAGCAAAGAGATCATGGCGATGGGGTGTGAGGGGCCAGATGGGGTGTGAGGGGCCAGATGGGGTGTGAGGAACAACGCTGTAAGCCTCCTCTTGCTCCACCACTTGCACTCATTCACCCACTCACACATCCACTCACTTCCCACCCCATGCGCTGCACACCCCCCCCCAAGCACACTCACAGGCGAGTGAGCTGCTGCAGATTGCCCAGCCCTTTGAGATCGTCGTGAGAGGCGGTGCTGTTGCATGGTGGGGGCCATGGCAGGCAACGAGGGGAGACGACGCGGCAGGGAGGGGAGAAAGAGGGGAAGAGGGGAAAGAGGGAGGAAGTGGGGTGGATATGATGTGCTTGAGGGCGGGTGTGTATGGTAGGCATGCAGTTGGGCGTGCACATGCAGGTAGATTAGGAAAACAAGAGTGGGCGGCCGATGGAAAACAGGTAGTGTGACGGGTCGTGAAGGAGAGAAGCGGGAGGTGCAAAGGAGAAGAGAGAGGAGGGAGGTGCATGAGAGAATGTCGAACTGACAGGTCCATGCAATCGGAGAACGAGGGAATGTATGGATGTCGAAAATCCCTGCAGGCAGCCAGCACACGCAATGATGGTGAAGGGGCAGAAGAAACATGGGTGGGTGGGTGGATGGAGATGATAGGGGTAAGGGAAAGCGGAAGGACACAGGGGTGGGCACAAGAAAGGGCATGGGCGTGGCAAGATAAGAGAATAGATGAGAAGGCACGCAAGACAGGGCAAGCCACGTTCAGCCAATTGAATGCAAGACAGACAATCACGTGCAAGACAGTCAGACGCAAGTTCATCCAAGCAAGGGCAAGTCAGAGGGGGAAAGTTGGGGAATTGATGGAGAAGGGAGATGAAAAGGAGTCTCACAGATTCTTGAGATGGGACAATGCGAGGAGAGCAGTGGGCAGGGGCCCGACGAGGGTGCACCGTGTGATGAAGCTGTGGGAGGAGGAGGACGGCAGGGAGGGCGGAAGGACTGAAGTTGAATGAAGTACCGATATCTCATATGCGAAGGAAATATAATGAGAGTGCAAGGGGACAATGCAGGTTGACATGCTTACAGTGCAATGACATGCTTACAGTGCAATGACATGCTTACAGTGCAATGACATGCTTACAGTGCAATGACATGCTTACAGTGCAATGACATGCTTACAGTGCAATGACATGCTTACAGTGCAATGACATGCTTACAGTGCAATGACATGCTTACAGTGCAATGACATGCTTACAGTGCAATGACATGCTTACAGTGCAATGACATGCTTACAGTGCAATGACATGCTTACAGTGCAATGACATGCTTACAGTGCAATGACATGCTTACAGTGCAATGACATGCTTACAGTGCAATGACATGCTTACAGTGCAATGACATGCTTACAGTGCAATGACATGCTTACAGTGCAATGACATGCTTACAGTGCAATGACATGCTTACAGTGCAATGACATGCTTACAGTGCAATGACATGCTTACAGTGCAATGACATGCTTACAGTGCAATGACATGCTTACAGTGCAATGACATGCTTACAGTGCAATGACATGCTTACAGTGCAATGACATGCTTACAGTGCAATGACATGCTTACAGTGCAATGACATGCTTACAGTGCAATGACATGCTTACAGTGCAATGACATGCTTACAGTGCAATGACATGCTTACAGTGCAATGACATGCTTACAGTGCAATGACATGCTTACAGTGCAATGACATGCTTACAGTGCAATGACATGCTTACAGTGCAATGACATGCTTACAGTGCAATGACATGCTTACAGTGCAATGACATGCTTACAGTGCAATGACATGCTTACAGTGCAATGACATGCTTACAGTGCAATGACATGCTTACAGTGCAATGACATGCTTACAGTGCAATGACATGCTTACAGTGCAATGACATGCTTACAGTGCAATGACATGCTTACAGTGCAATGACATGCTTACAGTGCAATGACATGCTTACAGTGCAATGACATGCCCGTCGCCATCGCAGCGCACGGCATCCATGTTGTCGCAATCCTCGCCCCTCTTCCATGTGCCCACACCCCGCATATTGTTCCATTCGTGTGCTAGACTCGCCAAAGCTTCCACTGTTTTCCATCCAGCACACCATCCATGCCATGCACCCATGCCATACCACCCATGCCATACCACCCACGCCATACCACCCCCAAGTCAGCATGTCACATCACGTGTTGGAAACATTCCCAGGGGAGGGGCGAGCAGAACAAGGAGAGGGAAGAGGATGGACGTGGGGATGGCAGGAGGGGCAGCTGCCACCAGCAGCGATGGTTGCTGCTGGTACAGAGTTTATGTTGCATGTTGAATAGG